TTTAAGAACTTACAACGAGTAGTTGCTGACCTATTAGAAATCATAATTTACAAGAAAAGAAATTGTAATGCATTTTTTAAACATCGTGCCAGTTTTGTTTCTTTCGCAGAGCTTATTTTCTAAGCTTTCAAACGATGTATAATTTGTATTGGGCGTGGGAAAAAGACTACAAGTTGTTCAATATACAACGCACTCGGACCGCCTTTTTGTGGACAATAACAAAAGTTTACAGAAATTAAAAAAATGTCCGACCAGCAACATTTTTATTTATATGCATCCTAATGTAAAATTTCCCGCTGATTCCGAATACGAAACTAAAATGTAAGAGAGTAGAACAGTTTTTGAGATATAGCCGTATTTCGATTCTGAGATCTGAAAAAAGTGCACTCACTTAATTACATTACCGCGACATTTTTGTACAAATTTCTATGAAGAATTTTCTGCTGAATCCGAGTATGAAATAAAAATGTAAGAGAAGAGAGTTCGCGGTTTTGAACTGAAAAAAGTGAACTCACTTATTAAATGCAATTTTCTTTAGATCTTAAATCTCTTTTTGTATAAGTAAAGACTATTAAGTTTTCTATCATCTCCGTCAACAAGAGTATCCAACTGGGTAAGAAATTTATATATACAAATATATAAATTCATGGAAAATTGAGAAATTTTTTTACATATTAATTTTGCCATTGGGGCAAGGTTTATATTTGTGCCCCACAGTTAAAGTAGCTTAAGTGGCTTTAGAAGATTTGACTTTGAAATAAAACATAATAAGTTTCGCTTGAAAATTTTTTTATTTTTATTAAGGTTCTATTAAAGGGCATCTTAAACTACACCTATGGTTAGTTCATCGTAAAAATATTGTTTGGGAACCCAATAAAATATTACTTTAGAGGAAAAATGGTCTATCTCGAATTAAGCCACTTTATGCTATTAAAATTATGTTTTGTTTCTATTAAAAAAGTGGATATCGTTACCTTAATATAGAAAAGCCCCATCTAACATTTCGGTTTCTCTATGGGGGAATGAAAAAACTCTGTAGAAAATAAGGTCCTTTTGCTGCGAATATCTTTCAAAGGCTGTTTTTGTTGAAGAATGTAACTACCCTGCAGAAAAAAAATCAATTGATTAAAATAACCAACTTATAGTTGTTAAGTCTTGCAGCAGTCATGCAGACGTTATCGGGAGTTTGTTTTCTTTATGAGCTTCCATTAAAATCTCCTCCAACAACAAATACTTCCAATATACCTTTTTTCTACAATACTTCGCAGATTTTTTTTCGATTTCAGGACAAATAAAACAAGGATCGACATTTTACATGATTATTTTGACGTTATGTCAAATGGACCTCAAATATGGGACCACCTACAAAAGAACTTGTAACCAAATAAGAAAATATGTAATGTTAAATTAAATACGTAAATTAAAAAAATTTAAAAAAAAAATCTTTTTTTATTGATAGTTTATGTCCAAAAGTAGTTAGCTACAAGTTAGTTGGCATCTAATGCAGAGGAAATCAGTGATCACTATTTTGCGGCCATCGCCCTTCAAAATTAGTTAATTACGACCAAAGGAAATAGTTAAAAATAGTAACCACTAGTCGACTGATAGTTAGTTAATAGTTAGCTACAAACTAGCCCCATTTCCTGCGCGGTAATTTTATGCTGTATTAGTTATTTTTAAAGTCCAATAGGTTTTTAGTGAATAATCGGCAGACCTGCCCACAGTACTGGATTTGAAAAGAAAATTAGTTGGGGCCTTTCTATATTAAGGTAACGATATGTATGTTCATATTTAATACAAAGTATATTTAATAACAAGAAGTTTTGCACTCGAATTATTCTCAAGTGGGCAATAAAAATTCTCCGCCGTTAAGGCTTCGACGCTCAAGTGCATTCTTTTACATTTAATATACATACAAAAAAAAATAAGTTAATAGTTAGTAGAAAGAAAACATATGTACATCCATACATGTATTCCATAGTTTTTGTTTTTTTTTTTGGTTTTCAATTGGCCATTTCATTGGCTTGGTAGTTTTGGCTGTCACGCAACATGCAATAGCAGACAATGCAACAGCAACGACTACTTATTGCACATACGTGCACAATGCAATAGTTGCATGCAACAACAGCAAAATTAAATATGTAATGAATTTGAATGCTAGACATTGGCGCGCCGATAGTCAAACAGACTCCGATCGCGTCTGAATCGGGGCTATCAAGTGCAAGGTTGTGTATTAAAAGGCAGCTAATTTTAGTAGAGATCGTCGGCGAATTGGCAGAAGAATACCAACATAAATAGATACACATGTTTGTCTGTACATATGTATATACACGTGAGCAAACTTGTACATCTATGCATTTGTGTTTTTTTTTATACATTAGGGGTATTCTCCAAATCTTGCAAAGCCATTGCACGTAGCACGGATTGCACGGATTGCATGGATTGCATAACTTGCAAACACACAACAACAAAATACATGGGAAACAACATTTCCTATCGCTGGAAAATATGCAACGTCGAAACCCATGTATATATTTTGCAAAATAGCATATCAAGATAAATGCGACCCTGTGCTAGTTGTTTTGTTGTTGGAATTGCTACATATTCCTCATTCTTCTCATCCCGGTCACTTCATTTTTTTTGCTGTCTCTTGTTATTGTATTTGATACATAATTTCGCTGCTTGCTACCCATGCATGCTACCACTTTGCATTGGGGGCTCTCGTACTCTTCGAAATTTGGAATAGTATTTTTGCTTTTCGTGCAATCCGTGCATCGTGCAAGACTTCGAGAATACCCCTATTATTCGTATGTAACGCCAAGCTTGTGAGCTTGGTTGCACCTAGCTCGCTTTGGTAATAACAGCTGTTCGTTCATTCAGTTGTTTGCTGCTTGGGTGACTGGCTGACGTTGTTGGTGTGTCGTCGTGACGCGGAAGTGGCACTCAGTTGCAATCGGCGTCGTCGCGTTTTAAATATATGTATGTATGTAGACATATGTATACGTATACCAAAACGCTTATAAAATACGAACGGCCGGCGATTAATGTATAATTCTTTTTTTTTTCTTGAAAATATTTGGCAATTTTCATTTTACCTTTGGTTAATTAAAGACAGTTTTCCGTTGAAATATGAAAGCTGAAAAATTGCTGAATGTTTCGTATAATAGGTAAAATATGCTGTGCAGATGATTTTTTGTGGATTAGTTTGTTTTTGATTTTTTTATATGTATGTTGCAAAATTTCATTTCCGCCAGTAAAGCTGAGCAAACATTTGCAAAATATTTTTAAATTCAAATATTTTTTTATTAACCTTTTTACAGTGCATTTTCTGCTCTTGGGACTGCAACACACAGAGGCTTCACACTGGAGCTATCTCCGACCGAGATTTAGATGAAGGTAAATTTTGTATGAATAACGTAAATTAGCATAAGTAGCTAAATCACTTGAGTGGCAACTAAAATTAGAGCATTTTTTTCAATTTAACTAAAGTGGAGCATATTTTATACACTATTTTTAACAACAGCCAATTTGAAGTGTATAGACGTGCGTAAAAAGTTTTTTAGTGTCACATTGAACAGAAATTTGTACATGAATCTTTTTAAAGTCAAATTTTATTATACGTACACCCCCAGCTGTTCACATACATATATATGTACCTATGTGTGTACGTATAGTTAGATGTAATTGTCCACGCACCCTGTAGGAAAATATTTGACTTAATTGCATAGTTTAGCGATGCACCTATTGCTCTCCCTATAAAAGTTGTGAGACATAATATTCATCGATATTTATCGGAAGTGAAACGTGAAACTGTGCATTTACTGTTGATATTAAAGTTATGTATTTTATATTTAATTCAAACGATTTACACGGGTTTTGTTAAAGAAAAAATAACCAATAATTAAATAATAACAAAAATAATATTTTAAAACTTGTCAAAATTTGGTGCGGCTATAATTTTTTCGACTACTGTACATGAGTTGACTATGATTACTCGGCCGTGCTACTATAGTAGCACAATGTACTTTGACTTTTAAGCAAAATACGGGCTGGAATTTCAAAATTTCAACCCTGTTTGTGTGAAATATTTTATTTTTATCAGTATTTTTCTTTTATTCACTCTTGTTGCAATAAAAGTGAAAAAAAAAAATGTCAGAATCCAACCCTCCCCCCCAAAAAAAAAAATAAAAATTTGATACGGCCCTGGGCCCAACCCTAATGTGCATACATATTTATTTATGTACTAAATTTTCCTACTGGGGTATTACCATGTCTTTCACTGCCATAGCGCAGGCTATGCATAGTAGTCTGTTATTCACGTAATTTACTCGCATTCTGATGTTGGCGCGTAAATTGCAAAATTGCTCCACTTCTCATTATACTCGTAATCGTACGACTAAACCAGCGACAGTGAAATGTTCATTCTAAATGTAAACCTACTTATGTACATATTTACTTACTATGTTGTTATATGGGTTTGGAGTGGCTATTGTCAGCCGAATAATTGCTAAATTAGCCGATAGATATATGACTACATACAAAGAGAGAGAGACATTGTACTTACCGAAATATACATACATATGTATGTACATAGATATACATATCTGCATTGTATGTTTTGCATGCATATGTAGCCGTCCCAGTATCTACTCATTTATGGACACACATATCTACTAGGTACCATATTTTTCATTTATTTGCTTAATTTGTGCAATTTGGAAAGTGTTTTTTTTTTCAATGTTGCTATATGGAGATCATTGACACCCGTTGGAGATGGTCAGTACGGGCACTTGCATAAAGCGCATGAATTGCTGCTAAATAATCAAATATGCAAATCAGAATGGATATATGCTTACATTTGGGTAATGTGTGTTATTTTATTTTTATTTTTTTATAAATATATAATCATTCACGAATATGTCTTTTGCTCTATTCTATATGCGCTGTGGAGTAGTGCTTAAAAGTAGCTTTTGAGATACGCATATGTCATATAAGTGGGCGGTGCCACCCCCATTTTCCTAAAAAAAATTTAAAAGCCAACTTTTTGCAAAAGAGCGATGGTATATATCAGTTTTAAATAAATATTGATTCATTGCTTAGCCACGCTGCTCAAAATATCTGAACGTGCGGTACAATAAAAATTCAAGGCTTTATTTAAGAAAAGTCGCCTTACTTCGACAATTTTTAGGCGATTGCAATAAATGAGCTATCAGTTTATTTGTAAATAGATTTAATTTTAGATAGTACTGCATATTTTGAAATAGTGAAAGTATGTGATGTCAAAACTTAAAAAATAAAGAAAATATTTTTTATTTTTTATTTGCCCGACAACAATCCCCAATCCCAACAATCCAAGCCTGACAATAGATTATCATACATAGTTTTAAAGACCTATAAATCCTCTTCTCACAAGATGTTCGATCTTCAAAATCTAATGAAATATAGCCATTAAAAAAACTACTGAATCTACAAAACCGTACCTTCTGACCTAAAATGGCTAGTCCAGACTCCTAAATGATTTTTGAAAAATCTTCAAAAGTCGGCAATAATATTTCTTATTCCTTCCTCTTCCTTTGGTGCTTTATTCGACCAGCTTAATCAAATTATGTTGGTCCGATTCTTATCACATCCAATTTTTTGAAATTTTTGGTGCACATCGCCATTATCGCGAATTTTAAGCCACTTCCAATTTGTACCTTATGATAATTACCGGAAATTTTTCTACAAATTTTTATTAAAAAGTTTGAAATTTTATGAAACTACTGAATTTTTCCTAATTTGCGTACAAAATTTGAAATTGGTATTTATTATATAATAAGCTATAAAATAAATTAAATTAAATTTTATAAAAATAAATTAACATTAAAACATGAAAGAAAAAATTCAAACATGTCGCACTCTTTAGATTTATTTGACCAATGTATGTATTATAAAAAGAATTAGAATTCAGCTTCCAACTAAAAGTGTTTTACATAGTTGCATAATTTTCATTTCATCTTTATAACGTTAATTTCAACCTTTTATAATTTTTTGAATAGTTTTTCCGACCTGGGGTGGCATCTGTGATACTGGAACCCGACAGAGTCCAATTGATTTGAGCGTATCAAAATCATTAAAAGGACTGTATGCTGATCTGGAATTTGACAACTTCAATGACAAGCAAACCGGCGTAAGCATCGTCAATAATGGACATTCCAGTAAGTAAACTCTTAAAAATACAATACGACTTTATTTTGAAATATTTTCCATCTTCCTGATTGTAATTATGTACATATGTATGTACATATGTATTTTTGTTTGCACCAACTAAATATCTTTATTCCAACATTGTGTCAATAGTTCAACTTGCTAACTTCTCCACGGAAATGGAACTGGAAGGTGGTCCGCTTCTAGATAAATATGTCGTCGAGCAAATCCACTTGCACTGGTGGTCGGAGCATACCATCAATAATGTGCGCTACCCACTTGAGGCTCACATAGTGGCTCGAAACAAACGTTACGCCAATGTGACACAGGCATCAAATTTCAAAAACGGCCTAACCGTCCTAGCTGTACTGTATCATGCATCGAATAAGCGCAACGAAGCCATCGATCAAATCATCGATTACTTGGACGATGTAAAAAGTTTTGATAAAGTCGATCAGCCAGTGCGTATGACAAATCCATTCGTAGTGCGTCAACTTTTCCCCAAACTCAATGGTTATATGACCTATGCTGGTTCATTGACCACGCCCTCATGCGCGGAGGCGGTGACCTGGATTGTGTTGAGCGAAACATTCCCAGTGACTTTGGAGCAGGTGAGTTGAAAGCAAATTTTCTTAAGATATCATCCTGAATATGAATTCGCTTTGAAATAATTTGTAAACCTTTTCACAGGTCGACAACTTCAAGCAGATTCAATGTGAAGAGAAGCAAGTACTCAAAAACAATTATCGAGATATCCAAAAAAGCAACAGTCGTGCAGTGGTGTTGGTACTGTCTGCGGATGACAATCGATCGAATGCTGCAAATTCATTGCGCATTTCATTGAGTGTAGTATTCTTGGTTTTAAGTGCCGCTAAATTCGTGTAAATGTGAGAACTAGTAATGTAATTTATGTACATACATATAACAAAAATATTTATCGCAAATATGACACGGCTACTATTTGCCATAACTGCAACATAGTGACAATGAACCAAATATTTTATTTTTATTTTTTTTGCCAACTCATTGATATTTGAGTCTGAGTGGAAAAAAAATTAAATGTGGCATCAATAATTAACTTTACTATTAAATATTTATGTATTTTAAATCTTAGAGTAGTATGCATCTCGTTGTTATGTGTATTTATGTTATTTAGATGTGTAATATCTTCTATCTTTGTACTAGTCAAAAAATTTACATAAAATAATATGTAAAACCGTATATGTATATGTATTTTGATTAATAAACAAATGATAAAAATATATACATGCGTCTATGCAAAAGAGAACATCATTACTATTTATCAGGGACCTAGAACAAAAGGTATGATCGCAACTAAATGTCATTCGCGTAGTTTTGCTCCCAAGAACGCCTTAAAAGCCAAACCGAAATGCGAACAAAACCTTCGGGAGAGTTTTCACAAGAACGAAAATGAGAACAAACTGCCTAGAACGTTCTCAAATAGAATTATATATATAATAACAAAACCATGTGGAACGTTCCCAAAGAGAAAAAAAAAACCGAACAATACATTCGGGAATATTTCTATGAAAACAAAATGGGAACTAATCTTCTATGAACTATTCGCGAATAATGGAAGCGAAAACAAAATTTCTCTTATACATTTCCAAAAATTTGAAATATTTTAATACTAAAATTAATCAAAAAAAAAGCGTTGTAAAAAGAACTGACAGATAATTATGCAAATTAAGCAAGTTAACGAAAGACTTAAGACGCGAACTTTTCTTGCACAGAAAATGAAAAATTGTTCCATAAATGGACAGTTCACCTTAATGATAAGCCATGTGGAAGTTGAAATAATCCAGCCTTCCTCTGACTAGGAAATGACAATCATGGTTCTCACAGAATCGATTTTTCATCCCAACACGCAGACGCTCCTTACATTCTTAACGTAAAGTTCTTAAAACTTTTGTTCTCGTTTTGTTTTTTGTCTTATTTGTGGGGACACGAAATTCGATACGATACGATACCATATCGATACTTTTGGCATTCGATACCGATATTTTCTACCCGATAGTTTTAAAACGATATTTTTTGGAATCGAATACCATAACCCTAGTATCGTATCGAATGTCATAAGCTCACATTCCAACACTGAGGGGAAAAAATTTTAAAATAAAAAAACGTGCTAAATTGAAAAAATACGCATATGAAAGAGCACCAACCCAACTCGTTTTAAATTTGAGCATATACGTTACAAAATATGTGGTTGTGAAGTGCACAGATCCTTTTTCGTAATAAGAAGACAAAAAAAAATAGTTCTTATGTTTCGTCTGATTATAATTGAACCCGGACCCTCTTGGCCGCAACCAATTGTATCAAGCGTCTTCGCACACTCAGCTACAGCCATACATGCAAAAGTGTTTTGAAATGTTGAGTTTGAATCAACATCACAGCGCGCGACCTGATGTTGTATGTGTGTATGTGTTGTCACCGCTGTGCATGCTTTGCATACATATACAAAGTTTGTTAATTACATATGAAAAAGCATCCGAGACGTGCAAAACGCCATCCGTGTAGTGAAAAATGCTTCATTTTAATACGGGCGTTGAATTGAATATTTCAATTATATGTACGTAGTGTATGTATAATGGAAAAATCTATTTTGTTAAGACTTCTCACTTGATTTAAATACGAACATTTTCAAACGGTAATCAAATAAAAAAATTTTATTCTTACAACGCGTTTTTTTCTCAGTGAAGGATAATGTTATTAACAGCTCAACCTAATATTACCGGCGAGAGTTTTTCTACGCACGCACGCAAGTTTTTTTCATTTGATAAACCCAAATCAAAATAAAAATTTGAATTCATAGTTGCGCCAAAAAGCCAATTGAGCATAAACGTCAAATCGAAATGTCACGCAAGACAAATCTTGGAATTTGAGTTAGCTCTTTACGCACGCATATAAGGTTGGCCTGTAACAATTCTTCCCGATATAAATTGGGCTTTAAAGTGCAGAAATTTGTACTATGGTTAGGATTGCATGTGGTGGGATTTGAACCCGCGGCCTCGCTGTTCAACACCTCAATCTCTACGTGTTGTAATAATAATAATAAAGTCCGGCGCTTACACAATATGTTAGTGTTTGGTCGAACTTCTCCTCCGATTTGTCGCGTGGGTCTTAATGTTGTGGCACAAAGGGGGTACCTACAGTTTTATGTCGATTCTGACCGGCGATTGCATTTTATGGGAAGCTGTTTTTCATTTTCAAGGTTTTCGCACTTCTAACCACTATACCCCAGCGGCATATATGCGAGACCTATATTTGGATACATTTTTTTGGTTTTTGGTATCGATATTTGGAATATCGAGTCTTTTTATTCCGATATTAATGGGTACCCGATATTTTTAAAGCGATACTTTAAAGGAGTACCATATCGATACTTTCGGTCCGATATCGTGTCCCTACTTATTTGATTTTCCCTGAAAACGTGCTCAGTACTTTCGTTCTCATTTTGTTCGCATTGGAAACATCCCCGAAAGTTGCGTTCTCATTCTGTTGCCGAGTTTTGTTCGCATTTTATTTTTTATGGAAAAGTTCCAATGCTTTTGTTACCATTCGGTTCTTTTGTGGGAACATTCTTGACATTACAATTTTTTCTCTTCCAGAACTAAACAGGTTTTTTATCCATCCTTCAAAGGCGGGTTAAGAATGTCAATTTGTCACTGCTAATTTCATACGGTGCAGGTGTTATCAGTGCAATGGGGTATAGTTCGTTGTGCTGGGCATGCAATTACAGTTGCACGGCTATAGTCAATCCCAACTCTTGCGTCCTCGTTCGCTCACTCTGGGCAACGTGAGCAACCCATGTACGAGATGCGGTGGCTAACCTATTTGATGGTAGTCTTTTGTCGCGGCAGAGATATAAGGAGCTTCGGTGGGCCACTCCGACTTATTCGATTTAAACTCTTACCGGTCTGAACCGTCTGTTCACAATTAGGTACGGCTGCAAGCGGGCGATTGGTTTGGAGCAAGCGGCTCGCTATATAAACGTGCAAATAAACGGTTAAGAAATCATACCCTCACAGTAATAGGTTGTGCGTTGGGTTTGGGATCCGCCACGTAAAAACCATTTTCACTAAAGAAAAAACACAAAGCCTCCGACGAGACCCCTCTTCTTAAAGGACTATGATTTAAGGGCATGCATCTGGAATGTCCACTTGTAATGGGGAAGGTGCCTCAACCAAGTTGGTCAATGTCCCCGCCATCCAAGAAATGCGTTGGAAGGGGCAAGGCAAGAAATGCCTGGGACCTTGCGACTTCTACTATATCTGCCATGTAAAGAAACGGAAATTCGGTAATGGATTTGTGGTGGCAGAGAGAACGTGTCGCCATAATCCGCATCAAGGCAAGATTCTCCAACATCTCGCTGATTTGCGCCAGCGCCCCGATGCAAGAGAATATCGAAGTGTATAAGTATAGCTTCTATGAGCACTTGGTGCGCACATACGTGCGCTGCCTCCGCCATGATATCAAAATCGTCCTTGGCGATTTCAATGCCAGGATGGGCAATTAGGATTAGGATTAGGGATCTTTGGAACCACCGTCGGAAAATTCGGCCTTCACGACGAAACGTGCGACAACGGACTGAAGCTGTTCGACTTCGCTGTGCGAGAAACCAAATCGATCATGTTGTATAGACGGCAAGAACGCTTCCAGCAGCAGAATAAAACACTACCCACAATTGCAGCGGACGACGGTAAAGCGGTCGACGGTTAACCGCTGTCGAAATTAAAACTCACAAAGACATATGGAATGGCTAAGTTTTCCAATGTTTTCATCCATTTTTATTGCCAGCAAATCTACAAACACGCGCGTACCAGAAAAATATTCTGCCATATCCTGAGTTTCGCCCGAAGAAAATTCACCCGAAAATTTGTCATCCGCCCATAGTAAAACCATGGAAACCAAGAGTGAAAAGTGAACCGGTTCGGGGAAAATGAAACTGACGGAAGCCGTCGTGTGCCGCAATTGTTTACTCTGACGGATTTCACTGTAGCAACTGTTCAGCTGTTCACTTAGCGCCGACCAATTTTCCGTCGCACAGTGGGGCAAAAAAGGTTGTTGTCGACAAATGAATTTTGAGAGCCCAAATATGAACCGATTTCAAGTTTCTTTTTTTAAATAAAAGATAATTAAATTTCGCGTTGATCTATCCGTGGCGATTTTTTAATAGTGATACTGAGCTGGATAATCCAACAAAACACAACTAATGATGTCTCCAAAAATGTAAATTTTGAGTTACATCTCTATATTATTAAACGTGCGATATGCACATACATAATACATACATATTACGAATACATGTAATATTTAGTTGCGAATAGATATGTCTACTATGCCAAACACGACTTACTTTGCATCATATTTATTACTTTGAGCCTTATTTTAAGTGATAGTATACTTATTAAGAAAAAATCATCACATTTTCTTGCTGTCCTCTTTCACTTATTACTATCAACGAGAATTTTCGGATTNTTGCATCATATTTATTACTTTGAGCCTTATTTTAAGTGATAGTATACTTATTAAGAAAAAATCATCACATTTTCTTGCTGTCCTCTTTCACTTATTACTATCAACAAGAATTTTCGGATTGGCTACACGGAATACATTCGGTACCAT